GCCGGCCTCGTCGCCGCGATCGCCGCGCCCTGCTGCCTCAACCTCCTCTTCGCGGGCATCTTTTACCAGGCGGGCGATCGGGAACGCCCCAATTACCAGGTGATGACGCACTTTGGAGCAATCTCGCAGATCGCGATCGGTGGCATGTTCGGCGCGGCGCAGCCGCTGCTGCTCTCCTTCCCGCTCGAGGCGGCGCTCTTCAAGAAGGAGTACGGCGTGGGCACCTACACTGCGACAACCTACTTCGCCGCCAAGACCGCCGTCGAGGTGCCCAAGTCCTTCCTAGTCGCCGCGCTGACGTGGCTCGTCTCGTACTGGCTCATCGCCCTCGAGGGGCCCATCATCCTCTACATCCTCGCCCTCTGGCTGATGGGCTTCGCCATCGCCTCGACGGCGCTGCTGCTCGGCTGCCTCGTCCCCAACGTCGAGGTCGGGCTGCAGGTCTCGCCCGCCGTCCTCGTCCCACAAATCCTCTTTGCAGGCTTCTTCATCAAGAGCGAGCAGATCCCGCCCTTTCTGCGCTGGGCGCAGTACCTCTGCTCGCTGCGCTACGGCAACAACCTCTTCGCCCTCATCGCCTTTGGGCCGCAGGAGACGGACAGCTGGGACAACTCCACGCGTGCGGAGGCGGAGCTGCTGCTCGAGCTCAACCAGATCGAGCCCGGCGACTGGTGGGTGAACGTCCTCGTGCTCGCGAGCATCGGGGTGGCCTTCCGCCTCGTGGCCATTGCGGCGCTCTCCTGGCGCGCCGCTCGCACCGCGTGAGGCGCGCCGCGCTCCCCCGAGCCGCTCGGCCGATGTACGATCTCGGAATATGTACGCTGGTTGAGAGAATGAGAGAGGTGTTCGGTTCGGCAACAGAAGGGAAAGAAACCCTGTCTTAAAAGAGAAGTGTAGAGGGTACCCAGACCCACACGCCGGCGTAGCAAGTGTGCCCGCTCAGCTCCCGGACAGCTCCAGGACAACAGTGCGCCGCTCGCAAGAAGCTGAACGAACGCCCGCGCGCCTTTCTCACGGTCCGCGTCCCCCCCCGGCGCAGGAATTCCGGAGCAATGCAGCAGCCCAGGACGCTGGGCAAGCAGATCCGCCCCGTCGGCGGCGGGAAGCAGATCCGCCCCGTCGGCGGCGGGAAGCAGCTGGGCCGCTACTACGGCGGCAAGCGGCCGCGCGGCAGTGACGACGAGGACGACGACGAGGACGACGACGAGGACGACGAGGGTGGTTCGGACGGCGATGCCGCCGGGCGGGGCGAGGCCGGTGACGACGAGGAGGACGAGTTTGGCCAGTGGGACGGCGAAGGCGACGAGGAGGAGGACAGGCCCCCTGCCGCGCCCGCCGTGCCGAGCGCGCCGCCGCCTGTCGGCAAGGTTGGCAAGGCGCTGGCGGTGGGCGTCGGGATGGGCAAGATGGCCAAGCCAGTCGGCGTGGGGATGGGCAAGGTGCGGAAGCCCGTGGGGATCGGCAAGGGCAAGATGGCCAAGCCAGTCGGCGTGGGGATGGGCAAGGGCGCGCGCGCGGCGTACGGCGGGAAGCAGGTCAGCCAGCGGCAGGTGTGCCTTCCGTGCAAACCTAGCGTGAACCTTGTCGGAGCCGTGCTTTAGGTCAGCCAGCGGCAGGTGTACGGGGGAAAGAAGCTGAGGCGGAAGGCGAGCAGTGACGACGACGAGTCGGACGAGGAGGAGGAGAGCGAGGAGGAGGAGGAGGAGGCGGAGGAGGAGGAGGCGGTGGAGACGGACGAGGAGGCCGCAGACAGCGCGGAGGCGGCGGCGGCGGCGGGAGGGGAGGGAGGTGCCGAGGCGGAGGAGGAGGCACAGGAGAGCGAGGAGGAGGAGGAGGAGGAGGACTACAACTCGGCGGACGACTA